AGTGGCGCTGTGGCTCAAGTGGTAGAGCGCTAGCTTTGAGCTGAAGAGCTGAGGGACAGCGCCCAGGCCCAGAGTTCAGGCCCCACAACCGGACCCAAAAAAAAAAAAAAAAGAATGTGGAAGTCAGTGTGATGTAAGCTAGTGTCATGCACGTATTGTCCACCTATATAATGTTATAATGTTACATGTTATTCTTCATGCTATATATTGCATTTTCTTCCTATTCACTCAGGTTGTAGTTTTCAAAGCTGTAAAGCTACCTCTATTAGGATATGCCCATGATTCCATCCTCACCAAGAGAACTCAAAATACCAGAAGGCATTATTCTGTCTCCCTACCTTCCTTGAAATACCCTTCTTTGACACTGCCACCTTGCTTACCATTTGGTCCAACAGTCATGGAAGCATGAAATCACCACAACATACCATAAGCCCTCGGGTGATAGCCTTTCAATGAGCACAGCTAAAGACCTTCTCAGTCATGCTATTCAGTAAAGGGAAAAATTCCTTCAGCCAGGACTCACCTCATCCATGGATGCCTGTCCTCTACACGCCAGCCAGGTGAAGATCAAACCAAAGAACACACCCAGTGCCATAACAATGTAGGGGATGTTGGTGACGATCATAGCAGTGTTAATCATAGACTTCAGTTGCCTTGCATTCTCTTCATCAATGAGAACACTCTGAAAGGTCAAGAAAATAGAATACTCTTCATGACTACTCATTTGGGTTATCATTTTCTTTATTTTATGTGGTGGGGCTGATGTTTATTACTGTGCTAAGTGGGGATATGAGGTAACTGGGACGGGCTCTTGGATCCTGCACAAGGCCCTCCCTATCCTAGTCTGGCGAATCTCGACCCCAGACTTGCTTCGAACCCCCTGCGTAGCCAATGCTATCCTTATCAATGTAATCCTGTTAAACCAACCTTTACAGAGAAGGGAAAAGAATAACTAATTGGGAGGTGGGCCTGCCATTAAAACAAAAAAGGGGGAATCTGCAGAGCACATGGGCAGCAAAGATGGCGCTAAGAGGGAGTTGAGTGGGCAGAGCCCGATTTACTGTAGAGTAGACGGGCAGCAAAGATGGCGCTGAGAGAGAGTAGAGTGGGCAGAACCCAATTTGCCTTATGTTCCTGGAAGCTTAGGTGCATGATAGGGTGTGACCTTGACAGTGATTGGTTCCTCGTCCTCCCCTGCCAGGCCACCCGCTCTTTTGGCTTTAAAAAGGGCTGCTCTCTGTTAATAAATGAGTTTTCTTCCATGCTGGATTTGGCTCCCCACTGTGTCTGATTGTCTCCCGGGCTGAGGGAGGCTGGGGAACGGGCAAGTGCCACACTTACCTTTCCTCGGACCCGTCCGTCTTTCGTGGGACGGAGACCCAACAAATTAGTTTGTGGGTTTTTTTTTTTAACTATCTTTCATATCATCAAACACAATTTGGTTAAACCTTCTTGTCAGTAATCCAGCTATACTTGAAATCAACTTAAAAAGTAGAGTACCCAGAGTGGGAATTTATGTATTAGTATCTTTTCTCTCTCTTTTTTCTCTCTCCTTTTCCCTCTCCTTCTCCTTGTCTTTGTTACAGTACTGGATCTTGAACTCAGGGCCTCCGACTCTTGGTTTCCACCCTCCTCCTACCTCCTGTATAAGCCTGGTGCTCTACCACTTGCACCATGCTTCCCACTTTTGGCATTTTGGTGCTTAGAGATAAGTCTCATGGACTTTACTCCCTAGGCTAGCTTCAAATCATGATCCTCAGATCTCAGCCTCCCAAGTAGCTAGTATTACAGGCATGAACCACTGGTGTCCAGACCATTTACTTTTCTAACAGAGGTTAGAAAAGAGGAGGGAAGTACTCAGAAATGCTGCAGTATTGGTTTTTGTATAAGACAATTCTTTCAAGATCTAACTCAGGATTACTTCCTTCCTGAAGTAATCCCTGACCACTTTGAGGATGATGAAAGTTTCTACCACACTTTCTAGAACCTTCACCTCTGTGGTTGCACCCAGTACCTTAACTGTCTGTTTACCTTTTGTTCCCAGTGATTGTGAGATGCTTGGAGATAAGACATTTCAGTTAAGTCCACAGTGGGCATAGTACCCAGTACCCAGTACCCAGTAGGTTTGTGATTAATACTGGTTGATTAAATGAATGAGGGAAATACCCCCAAAATGTATGTGTACTTTATAATCTCTCTTGGTTCTATGTAGAATCATCAGGACCAGATGCCTCAATCAAGTGTTTGAGTCAGTTATGGGGCTGTCCAAAATAGCCAAGAAAATATACTAGAATATATTAACCAAGTATATTCCTAGCCAAGGAATGTACTAGAATAATACTGTTCATTTTGAGCGCAGAGTTACTCATCACTCTGCATTGTGGATGAGCTTAACTCCGTAACAATCATGAGCAACAATTCTGGCTTTGTTTTTATTGAACTGAGCCAGGGGTTGGGAATTTCACACTTGTAAAGAGGATCCAGGTTCAAAGCTTTCCCAGAGCAGAAAAGGCTATGAACCTCTATTACCACAATGAGTAGCAATAAGCCAGGTTGCAGGCATAGTTAATTGGTAGAATGTCAGTCATAAGCAAGCAATCCAAGTGAACTCCAGGCTCATGAGCCCAAGCCTTGCTATGAGCAAAAGAATAAAAAAGTAAAAATAAATAAAATTACAAACAGTAAGTTGATTAGACTTGATACATAGCGATTTTAGTATTTCCTTTTCTTGCTATATGGTACTAAATTTTCTAAAATAAGTATTTTTAGAGCAAAATAAGAATGTTAAAACATGCTGTTAATAATAGAAGACCACCAATTGAGAATTTATTAAAAAAGGAAAAAGTTCATTTTCTCTCCATCAAAACTATGGGGGAAATTAAGGAGATAAAACTACAATAAATCTTATGTATGATTTAGAAAAAAAATCAATTATAGGGGTCTTAAGATGACAGGGCTTCAAAGGAGACAAAGAAAGCTTAACTGGATGCCTAAGTGCTGGCAATTTCTCCTGTTTCTACGGAGTCTGGGAGTTGAACTCAGGATGTCTATCACTTGAACCCACACCCCCCAGTTCTTTTGCTTTTAGTTTAGTTTTTTTTCAGATAGGGTCTTGTGGTTTTGCCTGTGCTGGCATCAAATAGAGACCTTCCTATCCCTGCTTCTTAAGTAGCTGGGATTACAAACACACACCAAGCCCAGTCCCCAACTAATGTTCTTGGAAAGGAAATGAATTTCTGTCATTTCTCCAACTTTGTGTCCCTAAGCACAAACAATTTCTTATAGCATTGAAAAGAAATTTTCTGGATATAGCCAATGGGCTTTTTTTTAAAATCATCTTTCTCTCCTTTGTCATTTCTTTCAATTACACATAGTTATAATAGCAAACGGAAGTTCTCTAAGCCTGGCCAGTCAAGACATTCCCAACCCCTGCCTCTCAGGACTTACCTCACTGATATACATCACTGGGAAAACCATGGTTCTAATGTCTCCAGTTTCACTATGAAGACAGAGAATGATGTTATTTTATAGATCCCTGGCATGGCAGGCTCGCTTGGAGAGACATTTATATGCAAATACCAGTACACTTATTCCATTCAATTATCTAGAATTGACTCTAGTCTTCTGAGTAATCTTTGTAAACACATCAATTGGAAGTTACCCTACAGTGTATCAGCAAGCAAGCCCAGTGTATATGTATTTTTACATTCTGATTTTTCATTCAATACTGTAAGTATTTTCTTACTTCCACAAAATTCCCACTGAAAAGTTAGGACAGGAGGTTGGTTATACTTAGGAATTCTAATGAAGAAGTGGCTTGTAGCTGGTCTGTTGGAGGGAAAGCTGGAGTCAAGAGACTTTATTAAACATCCAGAAAAGAGTGCTAGGGCTGGCCTCCAGGTGGGGGAAGAGGGAATGGAGAGAGAAGGGGATGGAAACTGGGGTCAAGGTGGGTAAGAGATCATCTCCAGGGCATGGGTTAAAAAATAGCCCCTATTCCCTACAGTTCTTCCCAGCTATATGATTTCCAACAAATTACTTAAACCCTCTGTGCCTCAGGTGGACAATACAACTGTGTGCTTCAAAAATGCTTAGAACAATGCCTCATCCATAACAGCACCATAGCAAGTGTCTGATGAAGTAAATTCCAAGAGCCAATTCCTTGGCCATGCTGATCTTGTACACCTGAGAGTGGAGGTGAGCAGTGGGAAGAAATGAACTGTTTCCCCTCACACACAGTGACCCTACCAAAAAGTCAATGGGGCAAGACTCATGCCAAACAAGCCAAACTTACATAAAGTCATCAATTTTTTTGACATAAATGTTGATTTGGAGCTTCTTGGCAGCCTTGAGAATAATTCCAGTCAACTGCAAATCAGAAGGGAAGAGAAAATATCAGGATTTGTTAAACCACAAATATAAGTTTTTTAATAGAGCATCACTTCTGTGTATTCTGTGGATCAGGGTGGCCATGAGTAGGGTTAGCAGGACAGACTGGGACCGTGGAAAATCAATCCCAGAATATAGCAAGTACTGTGTAGACAGACCAAGGCTTTATAATGTTGATGTGAATCCTTGGAAAATCTGCTCAAATGTAGATTCAATTCAGTGGGTCTGGGGAGTAGGTATTTCTGACTAGCCTCTCAGATGGCTGATACTTTGAATTGAAATCCCCAGAGGACTCCAGCCCACAGGTCCCCAGGCAGATCTGGATACACTGGCAGATAGCCAGAACTCAGAGGAAGATGGTGGTCCCTGCCAGAGAAAGATGTTCAAGTCTAGGATGTCCATCCAGAGGGAGTGGCTGTAGCAACTGCCTTCCCCATGTAGCCCTCATCTTTGCATTGAAGTATGGGAAAATGCTGATCCCTGGGCCACAGCCACCACTCCTAGTTTGATTGATGAAAGGGAATTGTCTGACCAATGGCTGAGAGTGAAGGAAGGCAGTCTCAGTGATGTCATTCACTATTTCCTCGGGCACAGACCCAATGAGCATAGTCCATAAAGTGCTAAAAGAATACTTTTACTTTGATTTGCTCCACAGTATTCAAAGGGCCAAGAATAAAGTTATCTGACCTGTTGTTTGGCTTCCACAGTGACAGATTCTCACATTGTGCAATGAGAGCCTATGAGTATAGGACTAAAGTGTATGTGTATCTGGTGCTTTGTAATCTCATTGCATAATTAACCCTCAAAAGTACTTGTAAGAAAGAGGTTTGCAAAAGTGGCTGAAACTAATATGCATATTTAAATGTGGACTACTGGCAACAAGTAGGCAGAGGAACATTTTTTAGTCCTAAGTGTTAGAGCTGGAACTCAGGGCCTTTTCCGTGCTAAGCAAGTGCTTTCCTACTGAGCTATATACCCAGTTTATAGCTCAAAGCAGGTTTGTTCAAACGAGGTGCTGGTATGTACACCTGTAACCCTAGCTACTTAGGAGACTGAGCTCTGAAGGTCACAGTTTGAATCCAGCCTGGGCAAGAAAGTCTATATGACCCTTATGTTAAATTTACCAGCAAAAATCTGGAAGTAGAGCTGTGGCTCAAGTGGTATGGTGTCAGCCTTGTGTGAAAAAGGTAAGAGATCAGGTCCTGAGATCAAGCTCCAGGACTGGACTAACAATAAATAAACAAATAGGTTGATAGGTAGGTAGGTAGATAAACAAATAGGTTGATAGGTCGGTAGGTAGGTAGGTAGACAGACAGACATACAAACATACAGACATATAGACACACAGACAGACAGACAGACAGATAGCCAGCCAGCCAGCCAGCCAGCCAGATAGATGTAGTAAGTGTCTTCATATTTCTGCAGTCTGGCCTTCTAATTATTGGCTATGAGACCACATCTCAAGGAACACTGGACTCATTTTTTCTCCACTTGAATGCATCAGGGTAAAGAATAATCCCTCCCTTCCTCCCTCCCTTCCTTCCTTTCTTTCCCTTCCTTCCTTCCTTTCTTTCCCTTCCTTCCTTCTTTCTTTCCTTCCTTCCTTCCTTCCTTCCTTCCTTCCTTCCTTCCTTCCTTCCTTCCTTCCCTCCTCCCTCCCTCCCTCTCTCTCTCTTTCTTTCTTTCATCAGTTGTGGGGCTTGAACTCAGGGCCTAGGAACTGTCCCTGAGCTTTTTCTGCTCAAGGCTAATGATGTCTCACTTTGAACTACTTTGGTTTTTTGGTGGCTAATTAGAAATAGGAATCTCATGAACTTTCCTCTCCCAGGCTGGCTTGAAACTGTGATGATCCTCAGATCTCAGCCTCCTGAATAGCTAGGATTACAGACCTACGCCACCAGCACACAGCAAGATTGCATGTTTCTTAAGAATGCTCAGCTGAAGAGCACAGGGACAGCACCCAAGCCCAGAGTTCAAGCCCCACAACCAACAACAACAAAAAAAATGCTCAGGGTGAAACCCTCTGCTCTCTCTCCAGGAGGAAGGTGCACTCACAGGGTTAATGTCCACAAATGTCTCATGGTCTTCCTTATTTGGATTCATGCCATGTATGGCTGAAGTGAACTTCTCCTCTGCTTGGTAGAAGTGTGGAAAAGACATGATAATGGGAGCACCTGTGTGTTGAGGAGACAGACAAGAAGGATGCTGAATACAATTTTAAGAGGAATATAAAATTCCTAACAACAAATGGAGTTCCTAAAGGATAAAAAGCCTTGTTAAAAAATGGCCAAACTACCTTTCTATACATCCTAGTTCAAGATTTATATATCATTTCCTGCCATCTCTTATGCCTACATTTTATTGCACATGATACACTCAAGTCTTGGCTAAATTATTTCATCTTCAACAAACATTTACTGAATCTATAAAGCATAAGTGTTTTGCATGTATTAACTAATGCTTTCAACAGCTCTATGGAACTGGAATTATTCATCTTATGTTATGTTGCATGATCCTTAGATCTCAGCCTCCTGAGTAGCCAGGATTACAGGCATGAGTCAAATCGCTGCTGAGGGCTTAATGGGAGCCAGACACTCTTCTGAATGATTTGAATATACTATCTCTCACTCTCACACGATCTTCTAAAAACTTACAACCACTTCTATTTTATGGATGTGAAAACTGATGTGTGGAAGGAACCTCTTTAGCCAATATGGCCAGTATTAACAAGGACTCAATCCCCAATCTGCCTGATCCAGGACACTCAAACCATTACCTAAAAACATTTCCCTGGAGAACTGAAAACAATTGAATATAAACCTGGGGTGGATAACTTCTCAGTCTAAATCTGGGGATCCACAAAAGGAAGAGGAAAAGCATGGCAGCCAGAGGCTTGAGTGTTGAGAATCTTTCTATGGATTATGGCAACATAGTAGGAAAAAGGTATCTACATTTATGTCTTGACATGGGTGAGGGAACAGGGCCACAACTGCAGGTCTGTTCACCCAGTAAGGGAAAGGGAGAGATGAGGATCAGGGGCAGATGCCCATTCTCTAGGTAGGGGTATTGTGTTCTATTGCAAAAAGGTTACCAAATGTCTAAGCACTAGCTAGGGAACTCTTCTTTTGAGGGCTATTGAGGTTTAAACTCACACTTGCTAGGATATATTTTGTGATAGGGTCTGATTTTCTGCTTGGGCATGTGCCTCACACGAGAATTATCCCAAAAGGAGATTTTAAAAGCCAAGTCGACTAAAGAGAAAAAGTTAGCTTTACTCAAGAGAAAGGGTTAGAAAGAGGAAAAATTTCCCAGAACTGTTTTATTTTTTTTTAAGTGACAGTACAAGGGCTTGAATTTAGAGCCTCACACTCTCACTTGGCTTTTTTATGACTCAAGGCTGTCAGTCTATCACTTGAGGCCCATCCCGATCGCTGGGTTTTTACTGGGTAATTGGAGGTAAGAGTGTTTTGGATTTGTCTGCCAGGGCTGGCTTCAAACCTCAGTTCTCAGATCTCAGCCTACTAGTGCCCAGCTCCCAGAGGAACTTTGAAGAGAAATTATAGCATTTTAAAAAAAGCAGGATGACTATGAGAAGATCACCAAATCTAGCAAGGATCGATGCAGAGATGAACTTTTATAAAAAGCACTTCTCTTTCTCTAAACCATTTTCCACAGTTATAAAAGAGAGATCAATTGGCTATGTATTTGTGCCATTATAAACAATTCTGTAGCATCTGACTTAAAACTCATTTTTAATAGAAGGAACCCGCCTTTGCCAGGGTCCCACTGATAATTCTGCTTCATTCATGAAAAGAAGCAGAGGCTCAGACATTAAGAGATGCTAGGTGTCAGGCACTGGTGCCTCACACCTGTAATCATAGCTACTCAGGAGGATGCTATCAGAAGGATTATGATTCAAAGTCAACCTGGGCAGAAAAGTCTCTGAGACACCATCAACAATTAAACAGAAAAAAGACAGACTGGAGGCATGGCTCCAGTAGTAGAGCACCAGCCAGAAAGCTGAGCATGGGGGCATGTGGCTCTGAGATCAAGCCCCAGAAGTGGCAAAAGAGAAAGAAATGTGTGGTCTGAAAACTGAGTTGTGTAATTTCTCTTTTAGCAGTATTTGGAACATGAAACCTGTGAATTCTTTACATAAGTGAACCACATACAAATATATAAAGCAATTAGGACAGCAACACACAGGAAATGTTCCAAAAATGGGCTGGGAAGGTGGCTCAGTGGTAGAGCGCTTGCCTTGCATGCATGAGGCTCTGGGTTCGATTCCTCAGCACCACATAAGCAAAAAGAAAAAAG